GTGTGTGTGATTAGGTGTGTTACTGAATGTGTGTGTGTGTGTTGTATCTGTGATTGAGAATGTGTTTGTGTGTTTTGACTATGTATGCGTGTTTGAGTGTATGTCTGTGTGTGCGTGTCTGTTTGTAAAGAATTTGAGTTATTGAGAGTGTGTGTGTGTACTCACATTTCTCTGAGTTCTGCAGTGTGTACAGCGACAGAGCAGTCGTCACTGATAGAGGCCAGAAGAGCAGCACTACACACACACACACACACACACAGTTAATAAACTGATGAATAACTGAATTACAGGTGCTTAAACACGCACGCACACACCAACACACGCACGAACACACCTGTCGTCAGAGTAGGCCAGTCTGTTGACCCGCCGTCTGTGTGTGTGTGTCGTCTTCACACCGTCTGAAGCCTTCAGATCCTTCACTGTCACTCTGCCCAGCTCATCACCTGAACACACACACACACACACACACATCAGATAAAAACAGACAACCACACACACACACACACACACACACACACACACACACACACACACACACACACACACACAAACAAGTCAGATAAGCGCATACTGCATACTCGCATATCAGACACACACACACACACAAACACGCCAGAAACACATTGAAAAAACACACTAACATACATCAGATACACAAACACACACACACCCACCAGATAAACACAAACACACACACGAGAAACACACCCACCAGACACACACACACACCAGGCAAGTCAGATACATATCTACATCATGTAAACACACACACTTCAGACTTATACACACAAATCAGACACACACCTCAGGTAAACACACACACACACACACAGACAGACATGGTGAGCAGTGCATGATGGGAAGTGTACCGTAGGCGATGGTGCTGCTGTGCTGCGGGTGCCAGACGACTGCGGTGGGGCTGCAGCTGGGGGACTGCACATCTGCGCGCGCAAACACACACACACACACACACACACACACACACACACACACACACACACACACACACACACACATAAGAAGTTCAGCTGGAGCATAATCAGTGTTTTAGAGACATTCTCACCCAGAGAAACACAGAATGTTTGGGTGCTTGTGTGTGTGTGTGTGTGTGTGTGTGTGTGTGTGTGTGTGTGTGTGTGTGTGTGTGTGTGTACCGATGCGAGTGGCAGGTTTGTCTTTGCGTTGGTCCCACAGCAGCAGCCGTCCGTCCTGCAGGAGACACACAGTTACACACTGATATCAGTATTGTGTGTGTGTTTATCTGACAGGTGTGT